ATATATATATATTAATAAAATAAAATGATTTGAATTATCATATTGTGTGGAAAAACTTAACTGTATTTAATTAATCTTTCAAATTCTTTTTCAAGTTATGGTAAAAGAAATATTACATATAATTACATATAAAAAGATATTACTATAAATATAATATGTATAAGTATAAGTCTATTTGACACATATTAATTACGCATAATTTTAGTTTTAATTTTAAATAAGATTTAACAATAATATATATTATGTATCACTATATAATATATACATACATTTTTTAATAATATATCAATAAATATTATATTTATAATGTATATAAAATTAATTTTTAATAATAAATATTATGAAACTATATAACATTTTTTTATAGTATAAATTAATTAATAACACCGATTTTCTATGATTGTATTTTACATAAATTCTCCCAAATTCATGTTTTCTTCTTAAATGCTTCATAATTTGAATTAATTAAATTATATCAAACATTCTATTCAAAACTTACTAATATGAGAAGAAAAAAAAAACTTATTAACCATAACATCAAATATTATCACTATGAGAATTTTATCAAATAGAAGTGATTTAGAGACTGAAAAATTAGTCGATATAGAAATTAATTTAATGTCTATTTTAAATCTATTTAGTCTCTAAAACTGTCTCCACAGTTAAAAACTTAAATTTAATCAAAGACCGGATTCAGTCTCTAATAATCTTAAAAAGTACTTTGTTAATTAGACTGATATATAGTCACTGATTAAAATATAATTAGACACTTTTTTCGGAAGTTATATACTTATCTTTTAGATTGTCCTTTAGTCTCAATTTAAATTACTGGTAGAGACTGTAAATCTCGTTTCTAATTAAAAGATAATTAGAGACTAATTTTCAAGTCACCAAAAACCCAATTTAGATAGCGCTATTTTGTCTCTAATTATAATTGAATTAGAGACTGATACTTTAGTCTCTAAAAAAAGTTTCTTAATTTTTAATATAATAAATATTTGAAGTTTTACTTATGACATAAATAATTTAAAAGTCATAATTATTATATTATAATTTATAGGCATCATAGCTAAATATTTTTTAATTATTACATATACAAAATAGTGCATCATAGCTAAATATTTTAAATTAATAGATTATTGTATTATTAGAATATAAATAATTTTTTTAAAAATATTTTAATAATATAATGAAATAAAATAAACTTTAATAAAAGAAATTAACTAGTATATATATTTTTTCAAAGAAAATTGAAGACTATTTTTTATTTTATGATATTTTTATGTATAATTTAAACTATAAGATATATAATAATATAATTATTATAAAATTTCAATATTAATGACATAAGATGTTAATATAATAATATATTCATATGTATTTATAATTATTAATATAATACTGTTTTATAATTTTTTGTATTGTATTTTAAAAACAAATTTTTTTTTTTTGTTTTTTAAACCAAAATGACATAACCAATTATTTTTAGTTAAAATAAAAATATATTATTATTAGTATAATAGAAAATTTTATATATAATTGAAAATTTAATATTAATTATATAATAAAGGTGTTATAAATATTTTCTTATATTATTTTGAGTAACAAATACATTATATAAATAATTTTTAATATTTTTTTGAAAAATTACTAAAATTCTATTTCCTATATAAAAGAAATTTGCAATTTTCATCTTTGATATTCCACGTCTTTTTAAAATGAAAATTGTCTCTTTTTTTTTTACAAAATAATTTGTATCTAGAAATGCCATAGTCAAATTATGATAAAGGCTGCAATAATAAACTTTGTCAAAATCTTAATTTGATGCAAAATTAAAAACTAGATTACTCCTATACATTTTTCATGGTTCTTTAATAAAAATAAGGAAAAGATTAAATAATTTTTATAATTGGAGTGTCATTTTCACACTACAAGAAAATTGACATATAATAACACACACCTTATAGTGACACTATACATGTCACTAATAAAAATACTTTTACCCACACAATAAATACAATATATGTTGGTATATTGTTAAAAAGTGTGAGTATGGACTATAGTGACACACAAAATATATTATTAAAACTCATTCAAAATTAACACTAAAATTTGTGTAACTATATGTCAAATAAATATATACCTACATATATTATATATCTATAGTGACACTTTTTGTATGTCACTATATATGTAACATTTATTGTAGTGTCATAATTAATTTAAGATAAAATTATTAAAAAAAATATATGTACACCAAATTTAATCAATCTCTATATATTAAACATGAACTTTTATCTTGCATGAAAGTGTTTTTAGAGTTTTTCTTTAACGAGAGTGTTTGTATTTAACTTATCTAATTTAATTTTTATTTATCATAATTATTTATAAATTAAATATTAATATTTTAAACTAAATTATCAATAAATAAAAATAAATTTTTTGTTGCAATATTAAATATAATATTTATTTATATATAATATATTATAAATTTTAATTATATATAATAAATATATTTATGTATTATATAAACTAAAATACTAATTAATTTTAAAATCAAATAAATAATAATAATAATAATAACCAAATTTAATTAGTTTTAAAATAAAAAATTATTATTGCAAAAAAATTTGAACAGAAAAATTCGTAAGTCCCTCAATAATACTTGCTGCTTACAAATGTTGGCTTGGTTCCTGGAGCAGGAGCAGCCAACAATGTACACTGGGCTTTACATAATTGGGCTGTATGTACTAGTTAGCTCCAGAATGCAAAATAAAAATAAATAAAAACAAAGTATTCTCTCTCTTTTTTTTTTTTTTTAGAGAACAGTAAAAAAAAAATCCCTATACAATTAGGTAATCTAATTATGTAATTATGGTATATAATGACATTTCAATTATCCCAAAAGGATAACAATTTACTTTTTATAACCTTAAATATTAATGCGCGACAATTTTAACAATGGAACTTCGTTACATCAACAAAATCAACCAATTTTAAGAAATAAACAAAAAGAACAATTGGTTAAGGATAAATATTTACAACAAGTGTGAAATCAGTAGGCATGCATACAATTATGTATAAGAGTAGATTGGAAATGAAATTAAGAGTACATGTTGCATGTACACGTAATCTCTTAAAAAGTACCACAAATCCATTACATTTCCACACAATATGGTAGAATCACGTTATATCTAGTAGGCAAGATAATTATCTTTTTAAATTCTAACTTAACCTCACTTTTATAGAAAATTCATTTTGCTTAAATTTGGGTTTTTTCTAATTTGTAAAAGTTAAATCCAATTTAACTTATGCAAAATATTATTTTTACGACGGAATTTTATGTTAAATAGATTATAAATATAACAAACTTTGTTATATATCATATATGTCTTTAACCAACATAACATGTATATTTTATGAGTTAATCACCTATAGACTGTTAATGTAAAAAAAAATTTATATTGACAACTAATTGTATCTTTTAATTGTGTTATGTCATTGTTAAAAGTAAATGTGTTTATAGTGACATGACACAATTAAAATATACAATTAGTTGTCAGTATAAAAAAATTTTAAACTAGCAATATATAGGTGATTAACTCATATTTTATATCAAGTGACATATGACCCAACATATATAAAAGGTGTGAATCATGTGGTGACACATTTTGTAATTTTAGAAATTTTATTAGAGGAGGGATCCATTTATTCTATGAGCAAGTCTACATAGATTTGCTCTATTCAATAACTCATGTTCTACATCAAATTTTAACGATGCAACCATTGAATTTAAAATTCTTAATAAATAGATCAAGTCTGCAAATTTTTGAAAATCATTTGATATTTCATTTCATTAATTTAAATTGATAGATAATCATAAAATCATTTTATACATTGATTTGAAGTAATGAAACGAAATATCAAATGGTTTTCAATTTTTTTTTTAAATTGCATATTTGATTTATACATTAAGACCTTTAAATTCAACAATTGGCCGGATTGTTAAAATTTAATATAGAATATAAGTTATTAAATGGAATAAATTTATATAGACTATGGCAACCTCCCAATCCTACTCTACCAACTTCCGACAAAGTCTTCCTCTTTATTTTTGCGAATCTCCTCCTTCAATTTTCCTTTGTTTTTTTTTTTTTTCTAGTTTTGATTTCTTGGAATTGTTCTGCTTGGGTTTTTTTTGAAAAAAAAAATGATTGTGTTTTGAATTTTTCTAGGCTGATATGGTTTAACATTGTTGTGGTTTGTGATTTTACAATTAGTGCAAAAGAATTGGGGTCTCATTGGGGGGCTCCTATTGTAGTTAGTTGGGGTTGATTAGAGTTGAATGAAATTTGTGTTGGAGCTTAGTTTAGATGCTATTCTAGGTTTTTTAAGGGGCTGTTTTGAGATAATTATTGGGCTAGGTTTGGAGTTGATTTGTGAGCTCTAAAACAAGTTCTCATTAACGTAAGTTACGAATATAAATTATAAAATTGTAATTTACCTTTCAATGACTTTTTAGGGTTCATTTGAGATTTATTTGAGACTCATTATATTATTATATTTATAAGTAATATATGACAAATTATAAAATTAAGAAAAATAATTAATATAATTAGTTTTAATTAATTTTATTATAAATTCAAATTCTATTTTAAATATATCCTTTATTTTAAGTGATTATTATATTTAATGTTAGTTGTAAATAAATGTATAAAAAATAGAGTTAACAATAATGAAGGATTTAAAAGAAATTTAACCATAAACAACTTTGAAGATTAATGATTATTGTTTATAATTTGAGCCAGAAAAATTCATTTTATTGCTTATAATTAAGGTCAAAAGTATAATATGTTTAAAATATAAGTTGTAAAACTGTATAACTATCTTAAAAAAAAAATAATGATTCAATAACCTAGTTAAAAAAAAAAAAAAGAAGCAAAATAAGTTATGAGTTTAGAATATATCGTACAAATATTTGTCAATTTTAATATATACATATTTAGAAATATTTTAAGCACATATAAACTAAGCACTTTTTAGGTATGCTTTCATAATGTTGGACATAAACTTTGAAATATTCTAGGTATCTATAAGTTTAGACCTTTTATAATTAGTAAATTTATTTTTAATAAATTAATAACACAAAAAAATATTACTAATTAAAATTTTGTGGTTCCCGTGCTTAATTATACAAAATATTCGGATATATAATCATGTCGTTGCCAACACATTCACTATTAGTACACATATCAACATCAAACTCCTCTGTAAAGTGAACGCGGATTATGGTGTTGGTCCCACTTCAACACATTTTGTTTCGTCCATGCATTTCAATTCAAGCTTCTGCCACTCTTCAAATTTCATCTTTAGGCTGTGAACAGCCACAAAATTGCCTTCTCACAACTTGCATAGCATAGCATGCATGGTGATTTTCTCCCCAATCATAGGAAGTCAAATTTTACATAGAATCATGTTGGAAAAAATATTTCATGCTCACAACAAATTTTAAAGATGAATCAAACATGATGGAATACAAAAAATACATAAGGACCCACCAAAGTCAAATTCCTTGATCTTCGATTTTTAAAGTGGTCAAGAAATTCTTGACGTGGAAAACATACATAGAAAAATGTACAGTCCGTGATTGTAGGCCATAATATGCACAATTCTTTCTCAAACTTGTGTTGGCGATTCTAAATGGAATAATTGAATTAGTTGTGAAAGTTGGAAGAATATGGTAATCACGACATTGACAAAGAGAACCAAGTAGGTAAGTATGTGATGACACAAAAAGGAACCTTCAATACTACAAGCGCGTAGATCTGGTGCTGAGTGGTTCTAGTTTTAAATATAGTAGTTAGTTTAAACATTCTCGAGCTTGAACCAAAACATGCAACTACTTTAAATACTTTTAACTTCAATATCCCTCATGTTAGATTTCTTATCAACTTTTCATTTATCATCTTCTCAAGTTGTATGCCAATCACACATAAACAATAAACGTGTATTATTTTTCCGACCTATTTTTATCGTGTTTTTTAAGGACACGTTGTAATTAACATGTTTTAATCTCTTCTTATTCATTGTTCAATATTATTTAGACATGTACTTACTTATTACATCCTTTGAATGTAACCTCCATGGCCTATTAGAACTTCTTTTTTTCAAATGCTATGCTCTTTTCCCAAAGTTCCTAAAATATAAAAGTTCTTTCTTTTATTATTATTATTATTATTTATAAAAATATAATTTAACATAAGCATATTAAAAAGTATAATGTACGAAATCACAAATATTAATACAATATTTAATGCTATTAATACAATATTTATAAAATTAACAAAAAGTAATTTCCTCCATATATAGTATTAATTTATTTATTAAGTATTATATTAATTAACTTTGGTAATATTATTATAAAATTATTATATTTATTAAATATGTCATTAAAATTAAATGATCTCAAATACATTAATATGTTACTTTTTATATCAATTTATATATCTTTAAAATATATTATTAAAGAAAAAGAGTTTAATACCCATATATTGTCAATGTAAAAACTTTTACATGGTCATACTCAAGAATCATGACTTATGAAAATTATAAATTTTGAGAATCATTATTTTTAGAAATGATAAAATTTTATTTGATTAATCATAAATATTTTTTAAAAACATTTATAAATGTTACATGATGATTTAATTAAAGATTTTTTCAAATAAACAAATAAAAGTAAGTGACATTCTTACCATATTAAAAGTTTTTTTTTTTTTACATTTCTAACATAATATTTTCAAAAAAAAAAGGATAAAAACTTCTTGTGTAAGAAATGTCTCATTAAGATAATTATTATAAAATGTCACCATATATAATAATCTGTATTTGGATGAAAGCGTATAATTACTCTACATCGTAATTTTTTTTCTCAAAAGAAAAATACACAAAGATGCAAAAATTAATATAATATCTTCACATATAACTTTTTTGATAACATGCGTGACAAGCAAATCCAAAAAAACAAACAAATAAATAAATAAATAAAAAATAATATATATAAGTCAGAAAACGTGTTAACTACCTAAGAGAAAACCATCTTCATTGCAGCTCAGGAATGATGTTTCTCTAAGCTTAATTGAAATTGAAATCCGTACATTTTTGTTGTTCATTGCAGAAGCACAAGTTACTCGGAGAAAAATAAAAATGAAGTTTGGGAAAGAATTAGTCTCACAAATGGTGCCAGAATGGGAAGAAGCATACATGGATTACAACTCTCTCAAAGCTACTCTGAAACACATGTCATGGTTTAAGGAGTCAAAAGAGTCAGCAGCACCAATGGCATCCACTCCAAAAGGGTCTCTGAAGAGAAGGTTAACACTCTACAGAGCCTTCAGTGGTCTTACAGGCACACAAAGAGGGTCTCCTAGGAAGAGTGATGATGAAGTTATACTTGTTCGTGCTGAGGAGGGTGAAGGTTCAGAAGGGTTGTACCAGACCATGTTCCTCAAGAGCTCTGAAGAGGGGGCAGAACAAGATCTTGTGTTTTTCAAGAAACTTGATTGTGAGTTTAACAAGGTCAATAGCTTCTACAAGAAGATGGTGAAGGAAATGGTTCATGAGGCAGAAGAGTTGAGCAAGCAAATGAATGTTCTCATTGCTCTCAGAATAAAGGTGGATAAGGTGGGGTTCGGAAATCTTGGTAGCAATGAAATCTCAACTTCAACTTCAATGAATGCCAGACATGGTAAGCCAGATTATGTTCTTTGTTTTGTATTCGTTTCTCCATTGGAGAAATGTGATAAGTATTAAGGAAATTCTTTTGATTTATACAATGAACATGCAACATAAATGTTTTCATGATATTGAGGAGTTACAATCTAAGGGGTCTACTCTATTACCATTTTGAAGGTCATTCACGTGTGCACATGGATGTGATTCATGAAGTTGAGATGAGCGATGGAAGGCATTTGGAAGACAGAAAAGGAAATCATGAGAAGCAAACAATGGAGGGCTTTAGACCAGCTTCATTGGAGATCCTTGATCATGTGAAGATCAACATGAACACACCAGAAACTCCTATATCAACCATAAAAGGGCTTCTCTCGAGTCCAAACTCTGAACAGTCATTTAGCAAGAGAGATCTCAGGAAAGCTGAGGAACAAATAAGCATAGCCTTAAAGGAATTCTATCATAAGCTTCGGCTTCTCAAAAGCTATAGGTAACATAGCTTCCTCCTTCCTTTATTAATGAAGACTGAAGAGAGTTTGGTTATGTTTTACAAGGCTAATCATTATGCTTGATTGTTATGCAGCTTCCTAAACTTGTTGGCGTTCTCAAAAATCATGAAGAAGTATGACAAGGTCTCCTATGTGATTTTAATGAGGATCATTGGTTGTGATGTTTTGAGTTTGGTGTTATCTGACTAATGTCATTGCAATTTGCAGGTCAGTTCAAGGAATGCATCAAAGGATTACTTAAACATGGTGGACAGTTCATATGTTGGAAGCTCAGATGAGGTTCTATCTTAAAATGCTGTTCTTTTATATTCTTTCGATTAATTAAAAATCGTTTTCCGAATCTTAAATGCTGCCGGGTTCTATCATGTTCTGTACAGGTTAATAGGCTCATGGAAAGGGTGGAGCATGCCTTCATTAAGCACTTCGCAAATGGGAATCACAGAAAAGGAATGAACACATTGAGACCAACTACTAAGAAGGAAAGGCATAGAATTACATTCTTATTGGGTAAGGGCACCAAGTAGAGGTTGATTTTTAAATAGTGGCTGCAAATCTTGAGGTGCATTTGTATTATGGTGAACATTGAACAATAAGGACAAAACTTAGGTATAATAGAATAGGTACCATTGGTAGTATTCTCTAATCAGAATTACAATATTACTCCCATAATATGTCTATTTATATTATTGAGGTTTGCATTAAATGTAAATACATATTATTAAAGTAAACATTAACTTTGAGTATGATAATGTTCCTAAGTTTTATCCTAACAAATAATCAAAGTGCAGTACAAACAGAAAGTAAAATGGATATGTAGTAAACTAGTAATATCTATTTAGTTCTGGCCATGTAACAAGTTTAAATACAGTACAAACTAAAAAATCATTGATTAATTTATGCTTACTGCAATTTCTATTCCTTCAATGTCTTAGTACTTTGATTAGAAAGAAAATTCCATTTTCAGTTTAATTTCTCTCACTGACACTTGACTGTATCTTATGTCAGGGTTGTTTACTGGCTGCTCAATTGCCCTCATTGTGGCACTTACCATAATCATACATGCAAGAAATATTCTATACAGCAAGGGTCGTACTAGATATATGGAAAACATATTTCCTCTTTATAGGTAAGTTGTTGATGTTCATTTGAATATTAATTATGCGATTACATAATTCTATGTTTGTTTAGTAGAGCAACCTCAAACCTTTATTTTCCCTAATAATTTCAAGTGCTATGATGTATTTCATTACCCCCTTTCAGCACAATGATATCATGAAACATGGTTAATGAACTTCAATTTTTTGCAGTCTCTTTGGATACATAGTCTTGCATATGATCATGTACTCTGCAAATGTATACCTCTGGAGGCGTTATAAAATCAACTACTCCTTTATATTTGGCTTCAAGGAAGGAACAGAATTGGGATACAGAGAAGTCTTTCTTCTTAGTTCTGGCCTTGCGGTACTCTCCTTGGCTGCAGTTCTCTCAAACTTGGATATGGAGATGGACCAGAGAACAAAAAGTTTCTCAGAATTGACAGAACTAGTCCCTTTAGGCCTCGTCATTGTAAGTTTCAACAATTTCATTTGTTAAACTTATTCATGTTGTGCATTTGCTTTGACTCTCAATATTCTGCCTAAACACATGCTATTGATGTTTGTATTTCATCATCCTCTTGATGGACCATGGAGATATATGCTAATGAATTTGCATTACAGGTTCTGCTTCTCATAACATTTTGTCCCTTCAACATCATATATAAATCAAGCCGCTTCTTCCTTATTCAGTGTGCATTTCATTGTTTTTGTGCTCCTCTTTATAAGGTAAAGAAAGAGAGATTTCCAAACAGGCCTCTTATGCACAAAACTTCACTAAGATAGTAATCTTGATTGTTTATTTTTTCAGATCAATCTCCCAGACAATTTCTTGGCCGACCAGCTTACCAGCCAGGTTTAAGAGTGTACCTTATACTAATTTTTAAAATTGGTCACCATTTTGATCTGACTCATTATGTGCAATCTCATTTGGTTGAGGCTCAATTTGCATAACTTTTGCTTAAGCTTGTATCTGGCTTACTTCTATTCTCCTTCTAGCAAATCATAATTCTGTAATAGAATAATTACAAGCTCTTTTAGTTCTGATTCTCTACTTATTCTTAAATGGTCAATTAGTTGTAGATTTTATTTTAAGTCAATACTGCTCTACTTTTGGGTTCAGGTGCAGGCCTATAGAAGTTTGGAATTCTATGTCTGCTACTATTTCTGGGGAAACTTCAAGACTAGATCAAACAAGTGCCTTGAAAGTGATGTTTATAAAGCATTTTATTTAATTGTAGCAATTATTCCATTCTGGATCCGTTGTCTCCAGGTATGCACCTGATACTTTAAAAAACATCCTTCTGTACTAGTTGATCTCTAGAAGTATCAACTTGCTAAAAATGTTATCGACTTATAAAGAATTAACAATCACCTTTTAGACCAATAAAAATATAAGCAGTTGGCATGTCATCTGTTTTGTTAGGATATAAAAGTGTAAGTAACCATGGACTTAACCCTTTAAGACTATACCCTTAATCATCTAATTGTTGGAATAGTGTCTAATATCTGTAGACTGCTAATCGTTTTTATCGGTATATTGACACGATTTTTATTGAGAGGCCAACTCAATTGATGCTCTAGTAAATTATGCGAAAAATTCTGCATGACAGAAACTTAAATGCTATTGATCTAAAAAGTTTGTTTAAACTCTCATATCACATGCAGAGGTGTTTGAAGTTTGTGTTAGAAATTATAGGCTTGTAATTGACTAATTGTAGTGAATCTAACATGATACTTATTATTTCAAGTGCTTTCGACGCTTACTCGAAGAAAAAAATACAATGCACGGGCTCAACGGGCTAAAATACATCTCAACAATTGTAGCACTTGTCATGAGGACTACTAATGAGTTGCATAGAGGAACTGTTTGGAAAATTCTAGCAGCAACTTCTTCAAGCATTGCAACGATTGTTAACACATATTGGGATATTGTAATAGATTGGGGTTTGCTGAGAAGGAATTCAAGAAATCCATGGTTGAGAGAAAAACTTTCTGTACCAAACAGAAGTGTATATTTTGTTGCTATGGTAAGTTATTATTATTAAGTTGGAAGAAGTTGTGTTGGTTATTGTTGAGTATTGCATGTGTGAATGACTTTTCAGGTGTTGAATGTTATACTGCGACTTGCTTGGATGCAATCTGTCTTAGGCATTAGAGAAGCTCCATTCCTGCATAGAACAGCTTTGACTGCTCTTGTAGCTTGCTTAGAAATTCTTCGCCGTGGCATATGGAATTTTTTCAGGTACTCTAAAATTTCACTCTACCATTATATGAGGCATTCTCTAATTTTGAAACATGAAAGTCACGGTAACTTAATGCATTTAAACCGTTAGATTTGTAATAATATATCAGATTGTGACATGTGTACAATTTATATTTTGACTTAAATGTACAGGTGTTACAATTTGATCTATTATTATAAATTCAACAGTTTAAATGCATTAAGTTACCATAACTTTCCTTCTATAAAGTCAGAAGATCCATTTCCGAGGCAGTTAATAAGAGTGGATGTGTTTTTATGATATTTATGTGAACACTAAACAGGTTGGAGAATGAGCACTTGAACAACGTTGGCAACTATCGAGCATTCAAATCAGTACCCCTGCCTTTTAATTATGAAGATGATGAAGAGAATTCGGTTATATAACCATATGCATATGTGGGAATGAGGAGGAGGGAGCCATGAAAATGTAAAGAATTTGTTTCAACTTTTAAAACACCCAAATTTTCCTGGATCATTCAAATTCAGATGTTAGATTTTTATTTTTTACAATACTTCCAACATTTTTTTAAATATAAATACAAAATGTGCAAATTATGGTAAATAATTTATATTGTAATACAATATTATTTTATTTATTAATAATTTATTTTAAAAATATTAAAATTTAATTCATAAATAATCATAATAAATAAAAATCAAATTAAATAAAAATAAAAAAAAATTATTAAAAACTTTCTCGTCAAAAAAAAAATTTAAAATATTTTTGTGTAAGATAGAGGTTTATATTTAAAATATAGAGATTAATATATTTGTTATTGAACTTTTTGAGATAGATAGTCTTTAATGGTTTAACTTATTTGGTATCAAATGAAAAGTTTTTAATAAAGAATTATTTGCACAAATATTCATCAGTTGCATTCCTTAATCACATATCAGAGTTTGTTTGATTTTCAGTTTAGACATTAGACATTGACAAAATGTTACTTTATCTTAATTAAAAGAGCCGAGCTAGAAAATTGTATAGATATCATGGAGATAGATTGAAGCTTCCTACAAAAGCACACTCATCAATTAAAATCATATCTCAATCACAATTGATGCTCCTAATATGATATTATGCTTGTTTGACTTTTCCCTAATCTGCTTGTTCAAGTTTAGTCTTTGATCATGTAATGACCGAATTTTCACCTTAAGAAATATAGTCTTTTTTTTTGTGTGTTTTTACTTATTTTTAAGAAGTTTAAATTATTCTAATTTATGTGATTAAACTTGGATTAATAGTTTTTCTTGAAATAAATTGTATGTTTAAAAGGGGATTATTCATGGTTTATGAATTAACCCGTAATCAGTGAATTTGGAACATTAAAATGAATTACATTCATTTAATTGGTCTAGGTTTTAAGGAATTAAGATGTTAATATGACATTTAATTTATTCACTCTAACTCCTATATTAAAATGAAAATTAGCTAGTTTTTTTATGGTAAGACTTTAACTCCTAGTTTGATTTTATTTTAACTTTATGTAAAAAAATTAATAAAAAAAACTTTAATTTGATTCATAATTTTTAAAGAGATTTCTTTTTAGATAAGTCAATCAAGTTGTTTATCCTTTAATAAAAACGACTAGATTTCATATTGGTTTATATACTTTTAATCATGTATTTACTTGTATTAATTATTTTACCACATGATATAATCATCTTACGGTCAAAAGAAAGTATGTATGACATTCAATTAATTAATATAATAAATTTCTGTTATATTTGAAAAAATAATAATTGAAACCTCAGTATAATTATATGTGATAATATAGTGTAATATAAACTTGTTATCGAGTTGAACTCACCAAATAAAATTGGTCAAAAAGAGAGAACTTTAATAAGTGGCCAAAGATCAAAAGGTTGAGGTCTAAATAATTCAAACTAACCCTTATAGTTAGAACCTCAAACTCATTTAATCTTTAAAACTCGCTCTTAACACTTAAAGCTATCCCAGGGGTGACTGGTACTATGCACTTATTGTGCAGGATGGCCTAGCATATAACATCCCCTACGTCCCTAATACTAACATGGTTGCCCTTCTTGTTCTTGCCACTATAAATATAGAGCACTTTTTATAATGGAGTGTTCATAAATCAAATTTTTTAAAAAATAAAATTGAATTGAACCGATATATTTTATAAAACTGAGTTGATTAATTTATTTTTTATAAAATGAATTAGATTAATTTTTTAAAAATATGGATCAAATTTTTAAAATTAAATCAATTTGGTGCTATGTAATTATCTACTTTTTACTTATATATAGATCAATTTTTTTAAAATAAAATCAACTCACTTTGTTAAAATAGATTAGACAATCAAACTAATTTTATAAGATTGATCAATTCAATTTTTTTCTTTAAATATATCAATTTTTTTATATGGATCGGATGAGTTTAAATTTTTTACACACTCACTCCTTTCTAAAAATAAAATAAATAAATTAATTAATTAATTAATTTAAAAAAAAAACCTCAAACTATCACTTTGCTCCTAAAAAAATGAGAAGATGAGAATTCCTAAGGGTCGAGAGCCTAGCTAGAAGAAGAGAGTTTGGAAAAGTTGTCTTCCCACTCTCTAAGCCACAAGCATATCGTAATGTATGGGGAAGGAAGTATTCCTCTCATCATTGTATGTTTGTTCCATGAGAGTTGAGATGGGTTTTGACTTCAAAACCCCTCCACTTTATCTTTTGCTATACATTTTTATTTATGCATGTTCTAATCTATTTTTAAATTTTATACATCCTTTGAGTGGTTGAAAGATTAATGTAATAATTGTGCGTTTAGGAAAAAGTTGGCTCTATCTTATTTTCAATTTGGTGAAGAAAAAAAATGATGACATTAGTTGGAATTAAATAAAATAAATCCTATTCCTTTTATTTTAACCACACACTTAAATCTTTATAGAATATATCATCATAACTTGAGTTCTATTTATCACACACATAACAACTAAACCTTTATAGAATATATGTTTGTTATATGTTCGTCATAACTTAAATCTTAGTTATCTTTAAAATTTATTCTAAGATTATATCTCTTTCAAAAAACCCACCTAATAAAGTAACTTTTTATCTTTCTTTAAATTTAATATATTCAAGTACCACCAATACAAATAGAGAACAAAAAATCATCCAATAAAATATTTTTTATCTTTATTTAAATTTAACATATTCAAGTACAATCAATATAAATTGAAAAAAGAAAAGCTTGTGAAAGAAAGCTCCACCTATAAAATACATCTAAAAGCCATAAAATACTAACACTTAAAAACTGATTTAGCGTATTTCTAGAGCAAATAAAAATCCCCATACCAAACTACCAAATTTTGCTCATGTATTATTATCATTCAACATTATTGATTTGTGATTTTAATTTTAATAAAAAAACATTATAGAAAATGTTTACATTATCAAATAATTAAAAATCTCGTAAGTATAATCTTTAAAAATAATTAATTTAAAATCATTAATATAAATCATTAATTTTAAAATAATTATTACTGGAATCAATAACTTTTAATTGTATGACTAATAATTTAATATCACATTTAATTTTAATTATAAATAACAAAAGAAAAATCATCAACACAAAAAGAAATAATTAAGATAATTATTTTTAATTAATTATACTATCTATTCAAATTTTATTTCAAAGATAACTTTATAATTTAAGTAATCGTTACATTTAATTTTACTTATAAGTAAACGCATAAGAAATTGAATTAACAATAAATTAAGAATATAAAAGAACTCTAAAATTAATTATAGTTGTTTATAATTAAAAAAACATTTATTACTTATAGTTAAGACAAAAATAATATTAAATAGTATAAAAATCTTACGTAGCAGGTTATTCTAATAAAATTCTTGATATTCTATTTTAACTTTATATATAATTTATGTTGATGATTTGCTAAATATATTATAGTGCTAATCATGTATTTAATTTATATGGATATCGATTTAGCTACACTCTAAAACAATAAAGTTTAAGACGGTATCTTCAAGTCACTGATCCAACAAATTACCTCAGATTCCTGGTGTCTAATGAACCCTTTTTATGTATGAAAATTGGTGCCATATTACACGAAGCACATCACACGCCAATCACGCTCCTATATACCATAAGAATATGGTACAAGGATTCTTGGAATATTGGAAGCTTGAGTTATTCTATCCGTAAATTAACGTGAGTCACTTCAACAGTCGTATAGATGATATACCTAGCTAGTAACTAGGCACGTAATCGACAATGAACTGGACATAGTAAAAGGAAAAGATTGAAACCATTTGCAACACATAGAACAGAATTAAAAGTTAAAACAGATAATACGCGATTTTGAAAATATAAAAGACAAACACCCATATTAACCCAAAAACATGATCCCCAAGGTTCGCTATTCTGCTGCCTTCAAAGAAATTTTTTTCTTTTAAAACTTGTAGGAAAAGCAGGACCGTATATCAAATAGAGATGTCAATTCATCACAAGTTTCATAACATCCAAATCAGATACCGTCTAACATAACTCCAACAGAACATTAGACGATCAAAATTCTATTGATTCGCCAGATGTGATAACCATAAGGAACAAATAACACGATTAAAAAAAAAAAAAAAAAAACTTGGGTGAATCAGGAAAACCGTCTATATAGCTCCCAGAGCTTGCAGGACATCAGCCTTTATATCCTCAAAATCTTCAACTCCAAAGCTGAAGCGAACCAAGTTGTCATGAATCTTATACTTGGCCCTTTCTGACTGAGGAAGATCCCTGTTGCAGAATGCATGAAAATTAAAAATACAACTACAACCACCAAACCGAATCTAATCTCAATAAATAAAACAATGTAAATCTTGACACTATAAAACACAAAAGGCCCAGCTAAAGATGCTTTCACTATAGGGTCACATTCAAGGAGAGGACCAATGCCCGTGTCGTGTCAAATCATAACATTAACTTGACAATATAAAAATGGAATCCAAATGAGTACCAGTAAGACAAAATAGCAGGCTGATCCACAATGCTCTCACAGCCACCAAACGAGGCAGCAATGTATGGGATTTTCAGTGAATCAATAAATTTTATTGTGGTATGTAGATCTCCATCAATCTGCATTATTGGCATGGCAACATAATTATAAAAAAAAACATATGGCATATGATTACATCAACAACAACGAAAACCTTATCCCACTAGGAATTAGGAAATGCATAATTCTCAACAATATAAAAACATAATGGATGTTACCAAACCACATTTTTGAATAGCAAATTCCCACCTCAAAACTGACAACACCACCGAAACCAGTCATTTGCCTCTTGGCAAGCTCGTGTTCAGGATGACTTGGCAAGCCTGGATAGTAGACCCGCTTCACCTGTGCCAATAATAGTATGTCATTAAAGCCAGTTCACATTAGATGCAGAACTCAATCATGAAAATGTTGACATACTGATCCGTAAATTGAAAAAAAAGGTAACAAAATATAATACGCACAAGATAATGAAATCACACAGAACACAAAAGATTAAAAAAAACACTGATTTGACAATTCAAAGAGATAACTTACAAAAAGAATACAGTTTCATTTCAGGTGGAATTATGCCACAGAAATGCTTATTCATTCGGCCAAAGTTACAAAAAAGGTAGTAATAATACTTAATTATTTATTACCATTAATATACAACATTACAGCAGATCAAGGGATTCACATTTAAGTGCTTCACAACATAAGATTTAAAAAATCCAGCATCTGCTCATTTGGCACATCTCAGTACTTGTTTATCCATCATGCTACAACCACATACATTTAATGTACATAGGGGGCAAATGCAAGATTAAATTACATATTATTAACATAAATATGCTGTTGATGAACAAGTCTAGTAAAAACATTGCATACTTTAATCATACATAGTAAGCAATTCAACCATACTTATACACGAGCTCATTCAACAATTAAAAAAAAAAATTCAATTTAAATAATAATAATAATATAAAACAGCATATAGAGGAGAAAAGACATTGTGCATATCAATGCCATTGTACCTTGGGATGTGCCTCTAAAATTTCGGCCATCCTCATTGCAGTTGAATTCTGCTGCTGTACACGAAGATGCAGCGTTTTCATGCCTCTGATGAATAGGTATGCAGCATTCTGTGAAAAATTTGGGAACTATGTTAGCCCACAGTAACCAATTATGATATCTTTCCATGGAGGCTCAGCCCTGTAGAGATGACTTACTGGGTTAAGTGTACCACCCAAAACGTGATGTAAAGTCCGAATTTGTGAAACCACCTTAGTTGAACCACTTATACAACCACCAAGGACCTGAAAGGTGAAAAACGTTCCATGATGCTAAAATATGAATAACTGAAAAGTAAATTATTTGTGTTATTTCCATGATTCCATCAAACTAATTTTTTTAAAAAAACAGCCAACTTACATCATGATGTCCACCCATGTATTTTGTTAAGGAGTGCAGAATCAGATCAGCACCAAGGGCAAGGGCCTTCTGGTTCAAAGGTGTTGCAAATGTACCATCAATGCAGAGTAAAGCCCCCTTCTTGTGGCAAAGCTCTGAGACCAGCTTAATGTCAACACATCGGAGAAATGGATTGGTAGGAGACTCAGTGAAGAACAGAGACACCTGCATGGTAGTATAACACCAAATGAACTCTAGACTGTCTAATAACTCCAAATAAATCAGAAATATCCTTTACAGGAAACCAACTACTCTCTCCAGTCTCCAATACTAACATTGTGCTGCTCCAATGCAGATTCCAGGGCTCCAACATCTGCCGGATCAATTACAGTGGTCTGCAAATCAAAGAATAAATTTGTTACACATCTAAAACAAATCTATAAATATTATATTTGTGAGTGCACAGGACAAAGGTAAGAATCCACCAAAAATAACCCATTGGAAACATCACAACTCCACCTTACCCAATCAACTGACAAGATTCACATTCAAGATATCTATTTCATATTTTCAGTTGAAACATAGCAAATTTTCAAATAGATATTTCTATTATATAAATTCAGAAAGCAATCTTGGGAAAAAAGAAAATGAACACTTTCAATCCAAACAATTTAAACAACTCTTCAAGCTAAAGAAAAATGACAACATAAGAAGCACTTCTAACCCCATGCAACAAAACACAACCACCGAATGGGTATAACACATACCGTGATCCCCATCTTTGGAAGAAAAGTCTCGATGAATATTCTAGTCTTCCTATAACAATCTGTAGTGGTCACAAGATGTCCACCAGCTGGAACCAGTGCCATAAATAGGACTACGCTAGCACACATCCCAGATGCCATTATCACAGTTGATTCGGCCCCCTCCAGTGCACTGATGCATAATGACAGTAAACCTCATCAAATGATCACAACACTTAACACAATAAAGAATCATAATAAACTCAAGCACACAAACCTTATCTTCTCCTCTAAAACCACCGTCGTCGGGTTTCCATAGCGCCCATACTCATAACTAACCTGACGATTCTCCTGCCAAATCATGGAAAAATTTAGCCACACCAGTAATTGATATTTATCCACTTATCATTTCATGAGGCAAATAAAAAATATAACACTCGAAAAGAATTGTACCTTGAAATCAATGAGATCAGCGGTTTTCTTAAAAAAGTAGGCAGAAGTGTTCACCACTGGGGTGGTAATTCCATCTGTCACAATACCCCTACCTAGTCTTTCAGCTGCATTGCCCAGATACAAAACCAATCAGCTTCGCAAGCATCATAAGCAACAATAATAGTCCAATGAAATTAAAATTTCTTTAATTAACCAAAAACCATACAAACAAACAAACAAAAAAAACCCAATTTAAATACCCAACGTCATAATATAATTTAATGAAAATATGGAATCTCGGAAAGGCAAAATTAGATAAACATGTACAATTCAAACAAAAAGATGGAGAGAAAATCACTTTCTCAAGCAAATCACATTCAATGCAGTGAAAACTCTAGCAAAAGTTAAAAACTGAAAAAGTAAAATTAAAAAATCATTCTCCGACAAAACCACATCCATTTCAATTTAAAAAAAAATCATATGAATTGAAAATACAAGAACGAATCTCGGAAAGTAAAATAAAATAACAACTTCACGTACCGGCATGAATCGTTTTGCTTGCATCCGATTTCAAAAACGAAGAATAAGAACTATGCTTTAACTGTACAGCCCCGTTCTCGGCTGCCACGTTGACGGCGTCGGCGGAGACGACGACGTCCTCATCGGCGGCTATGTCGACGGGGAGAGGCACCGTAGCGGCGTCGGCGGCGGAGGCCGCGGGCGGCGCCGGAGCCCCGGCGGCAGGGGAGTTTGCGGCATCGTTGGACCACGAAGCGGCGACGATTTGCGCAACGCCGATGTTGCTGCAGTTGCGGCGAGCCTTGGTGCTGAGCTGGCGCTGAAAGTTGGGAGGGAAGCGGAGGATGAGGGAGGAGACGCCGTGCAAGGCAGCGCCAGATCCGAGGGAGGCGCGGAAATTGCGGCGGCGGAGGTTGTCGAAGGAGGGAGGCGGCGAGAAATCGGGATCGGAGCGGCACTCGAAGGTGAAACGCATGTGTGAGCTGGAAACGGCCATGTTCGTCGTCGTTTTGAGGGATTTGTTTTCTTCTGCTTCACCTACTCCTCTCGCTCTCTCTCTCTCTCTCTCTCTCTCTCCAATCTACCAAATAAATATGCAAAGGGATCAACACTAACACTTCGCATTAAATACTAACACTATATACTATATAGTGCAGGATATACGCGTCACGCGTCATTACTTTCTCCTCTCCTTTCCTTTCAAATTTAAATAAATTAAATTAAAGTTATCGTCTTCTTTTTTTTCTTCTAATTATTATTCAACAAAGTTTCTTCTCAATATTTACGCATTTACACATTAATCATCAATGAATTCAAAGTACGGTTCGTGAAGTCACCACTCAAACGTGTTTTCTCTACTTCACCAACTGTACCCTCTTTTAACTGCACCAAATCCGAATCCAAAATGATCGACAATCGCAAGATATTGTTAATTTTTTTATATAATTTGTTGATTTTTTTCTAATCTATACAGCTATATAAAAAAATTAAAATATTTGATACATCATTATATTTTTTATTATTAAAAAATTTATTAAATTCAGAATTTAAAATTTTAAGACTCAAAACTAATTACAAAATTAACTATTAATATATTTTCATTATTTAATCTCAATTTTATTTTATTTTTAAATAGAGACAAAAATTATTTCAATAATATACAAATACATCATTCATTCATGATTTTTATTATATTAAATTTTAGGTTTAATGTTATTTATAATTGGATAAATTTTGGTTTTTCTATTTTATTTTGTCAATTTAATCTTCCAGTATTTTTCTTTTAAATTAGGATATTATTGAGACAAAAAAGTAATGACTAACCCTATGATTCTTTAGATATTGAATGTTAAATTGACAAATAGATTAAATATTACTAGTAATGACTAATCCTACCAATCGTTGGTTGGTGCAGTGGTAGCATGGGGTTGCACTTGGTAGGGAGGTCTGCGGATCGATCCCCCACAACGGCGAAGTAATGACTAATCCTATGATTAAAAAAATCTATTTATTTAAAAAGTTTAAATTTAGATTTATAAAAAAATTGTTATATATATTTATATATGTATATTATTATTAACAATAATACTATAATTAAGTAAATAAAGTAACACTCATTTTAAATCTTATGTCATTTTTTAATAAAAAATATATATCTCATTTCTACCATATTATTTTTTATAAAAATAAAGTAGTATATATAGTCGGAATTATATATTTAAGGCATGAATCAAATTTTGATCTTTAGTTATGTAGTACAAGTATCCAACCACTTAACTTATCTATATATCAACAATAGTTTTTTTTATGTAACATATATATTACTCCCATAAGACTAATTACCTAATTCACTAATATTAAGAAAATAGTTAACTTAATTGATAATAATAAATTTGTATTATTTGTATTTTTTTCTAAAGCTATCTTTATATTATTTTTTTTCTAATTAATACTCATATACCTTCTAATCAATTAGAGTGCATGTTTTATATTATTTACTTCTCTTAATTAATACTCATATTTTTTTACATACTTTTCAAAGATTTCATAATTAATGCATTTTAACACTTGCATTTTAGTCTAAAATATAATTAAAATATAGAATAATATAAATTGAGCCTAATATAAAAAAAAACAAATAATTATTCTAAGTTAAATCTTATAAATAAAAAGTGAAAATAATATATATATATATATATATATATGTGTGTGTGTGTATGTGAGAGAGAGAGAGAGAGAGAGATAAACCGGAAAAAAAAATCTAATATCAGAGCTAGAATTTGATGGAGAGGAGCCGACACATTTTTTTTTTCTATTGCTTAATTTTTTTTATCATTTTTATCCCTTAATCTTCCACAGTAATTGAGATATGGTAAGTAGTAACAATTAACACATGAAATATGTTTAGCGGTTAGTTTTAGTCTTGCCCACTTTTGTAGGATCATTTGAACCTGAAAAGGAATGCACATGTTAAAACTTTTGTTAGGTTTGTTTCCCAATTTGAATGAAATTTGTTTTGACACGCCCCATTTTGTGTTATCCCATCTAATTCATTGTTGGAGGAGTTACTTTTAGCGATAATATAACTCACAGTTAAACATATTTCTTCATTGATAACTCTTACGCGCTCTATTCAAGTTAGGAAGGAAAATCGGAAGAAAACAGAAAGAAAATTTGTTCTTTACTTCTATTTATATTTAAGTTAGTTAGGGAGACAGGAAGAACACAGAAAGGAAAATTATTCTTTGCTTCAATTGAATTAACAAGTTGTAAAAGTGATTAAGGGGTGACTTTTCACTTAATTAATAAACTTAATTGAATATAAACATTAAGATAGGTCTAATAGTATGGACCAACATAAGGTATAAGAACTTAAGTTTAAACTTTATCAATGTCATTGTAAATTTTTTATTGAAAAAAAAATAGTTTAACATTAATACAATGATAATATATAAAAAAAATTATATAGTCAACTAATTAGAAATCACAATTTATATGATTTTTAAGGTAATTATTATTAAAATTAACAAAATAATCATCTATATAAATTGTAATTGAATGATGATGTAATACAATGTCAATGTATTATTAACAAATTTTAAAAGTCTATTTAGTTTAAAGAAAGATAGGGGAGAAAAATTATTTTAAGGAAGAAGAAAAGAGGAAAGCAAAAGGGAGAGGAGAAATGAAAAACTTTATTTGTTTGAGAGAAGAGAAATGAAAGATACATAACGTTTTCCTTACTTGATTCACAAAAAGAAGAAAGTGAGTTTAAAAATTAATTTAATTATATATTATTGTAATTTTAAATTCAAGAACACAAGTATAAATTATACTTTATTTAGACATTATACTACAAATATTTTAAAATCTATTGCCTCCAAATCCCCTCAACATTGGAGGTGATTCAAATTAAATTAATGAAAAATAATGTTGCTTTCCTCTATTCACTTCTTTTCCTTTCTCTTTTAAAAGTTGAACTAAATAAAATAAATTTTATAAAAATACCTCTCCCCTCTTTCCTTCCATTCTTTTCTAACCAAATATTGTATAAAAATAAATAAATAAATAAACTCAATTGAATTAGTAATTATTTAGAAGTCCGTGCAATCAACAAGTTTTCTTTCATTTCAAAATTTACTTTGATTAAGTTTATTATTCATAGATTAATTAACTATTCACATGTGTAATTAACACGCGTACATATTGTAGTTAAATATAAATATATTAATTCTTACAAATTTATAAATTTTTGTAAATTTTACTTATAATTTAAAAAATTATTAAAAATATTGATTGTAGTGATCTTCATTTTAGATACCATTAACAAATAACTAAACTTAAAAAATGGTGTTATTATATCAAATAAACTACATGATTTGGTCAAATTGTTTGGTGTAATTCAATTTGTATCCTATTGGTTACAATTTAGCCCTTATCCTATGGTGTAACCGATTGGTAACATTGAGTTTGTTAGGATACAATTTTTTGAAATTTTTTTTAAAAGGTTTTTATTGAAAATATTTGTTTTCTTGTATATTTAAAAAAAAACACTTTTAATTTATATTCAAAGGAGCTCGTTATTACATAAAAAAATTAGAAAGAATCACATGTTCACATTTTTAATTAGTTAAATAAATATTTTTAGTGAGAATATTTTCTTCTATAAAGCATTTTGTCCGATGTCCCCAAATAGCGCACGTATTGTGTAAGACCAAACCTAGCAAATTGAACATAAGTATGTTTTATTATGTAATTATTTTAAGTGGAATGGAATCATTGTGGATAATAAAGCTCTATTTATGAGTATTTAACATAAACAACCTTGTATCTATTGATTTTTATATTACATATCAATCGGTGCTTGTGTTCGTCAATATATGCTCACAAAGAGATGATAATGGGACTAGGCATGCCAACGGGCGGGGCGGGTTTAGGGTTTAGAGTTTAGGATTTAGGGTTTAGGGTTTAGGGTTTAGGGTTTAGAATTTTATCCCCGCCCCCGCCCTCGATACCCGCCGGGGATAAAATTTGGATCCTCATCCCCGTCCCTGGCGGGGTTTGGGTTTTCCCGCCCCACCCCTGCCCTTGTTCCTATTTTTTTTCTTCTTTTTTTCTTTTAAATAAATATGAACAATTTTAAAAAAAATAAAAGAAAAGTAAAATAATATAATTTTTTACATATAAATATTTATAATTTTGGTTTATATATATATATAAATAATTTTTTAATTATATTATTAAGCGGAGTGGGG